TTTCGCCCGCCGGTTTGGCTTGAATCGCTATGCTGATCGTCTCCTGGCCAAAGCCCCCAAATTCGGTCCCGCTCGCTGCCAATTATCCCGGCCAGCAAAACCAAAGAAACCGTCATATTTCGGGGCAGAGGATAACCGCGCCAAGAGCCCCAGGCAACCGAAAGCCGCACGCTACCAAAGCAATCGCGTCTTAAACGCCGGAGGCCCTATAACTCGTCATTCCCGCGCAGGCGGGAATCCAAACCCCAGTCCACCCACGCACCCGGAACCGAAGGAGGCACTGCCACTCCCGTCTCCACCGCCATTCAGACCAATTTTGTGTGCTGATAAATAAGACGCGATTGCCCTGCGCACGCTACCTCTACATCATATGCGCCGACAGTGTAGATCACGGCACAAGCGTCGCCTGTCGCCTGCTCCCCGACGGGCTGCCCAGCAAACGCTCAAGGGGTGGAGGTCGCAACAGCGACCTCCACCCCATCGGATTCGGCCAGTTAGGAATAGATTCGAGGAATGGTCCGAATTACTCCCCCAGTGTCGTCGTCAGCACCCACATGGGACGGGCGCCCACGTCGTAGGTTGCCAGGGGCGTCATCTCGCCGGTGGCGGCGTCTATGCTGTGGGAGGAGAGGCGCCCAGTGGCCGACCCGGCCCCGAACACGAACTTGCCCTGCGGGTCCAGGCTGAAGGCGCTGGGGACGGCCTCGGTGGAGGCACGGCCGGCCGCCGTGAGAGCACCGGTCTGCGCGTCAACCGAGAAGCTGGCAATGCTGTTGTGGCCCCGGTTGGGGACGAACAGGAAGCGGCCGTCCGACGTAATCTGGATCTGCGAGCAGGTGTTGCGCTCGGTGTGTCCCTCGGGCAGCGTGGAAATGGTCTGGAAGGCGGACAGCCGCCCTCGGAGTCCATGTTGTAAGGCGGTGACGCTGCTGCCCTGCTCGTCGGAGAAGTACACCACAGTCCAGCGACGGGTGGTAGGTGTAGTGGCGAGGGCCCAGGAAGCCGTTCATCTCCACCACCAGCGGGTCATTGGGCGTCAGGCTCCCGGTGTCGGCGTCGAAGCGGAACTGGTGGATCACGTCGGGCCGGGGATGTTCTTGGGCGGCTCCAGCACGTTGTCCTGGATGTAGGCAATATGCGGCACGTAGGCGAAGCGGTTGGAGCGGTCGGTCAGTATGGAGTGAGCCCCGGCCACCGTCTCTACCGACTCGGACGGCGCGCCGCCCAACTCGCCGTCGGCACCAATGGGGTACACTCCGGCCCGTGCTCCACCGTAAAAGGCGACGGTCAGGTGGCGGCCCGTGCGGTCCGTGGCAATGTACGCGGGCCAGTCCTCAACGGCCACCGAGCCGGTCTGCGTTAGCCCACCGGAGGCCGGGTCGATGCGGTGGCTTGAGAGCCCCAGCGACTCGCGGTGGCTGACATACAGCGTCCCCTTGTCGGGGCTGATGGCCAGCAGCGACGGCCCCCCGGGCATCGCGGCATCGGCCTTGTGGCTGAGAGCGCCGGAATCTCCGTCCATGGTATAGATGCCGATCTTGTTGTCATCCTGGGCTGCGACATATACATAAGTTGGCATGGTTTCTCCTCCTGAACGAAATCTCCTGAATGAAATCCCCTCTCCGTAGAGAGGGGATTCGTGGTTCGCTAGAATATCGCGATGGGATTCACTGGGGAGCCCGTGGTGTTGTGCAGCCGCAGAGGCCCGATGGAGATCATGAACTCCCACCGGTTGCGCTCGCGGCAGGCCACCGCCACCTCCTCGAGGTTGGCGTTGTCGAGAATCCAGATGCCCATGGCCGTGATGCCGACCTGGTGAATGGGGCTGGGCACCTTCTCATACTGCGGCGGGTTCACGTCGTTGCCGTGTCCGTTCCCAGCATGGCGATGCCCCGCTCGTAGAACAGCGGCAGGCACGACGCCTGGCATGCAGCGGAACCGGCCTCGCGCGACCACGGCCCCTCGACGTTGCGGCGGTGAAGCTGGCCAGTGCGGATCAGCAGCACGTCGCCCTCCTCCACCTTGAAGCCGCAGCGCTCCTCGGCGGCAAGGATGTCGTCGATCATCACGCCCTCGCCCCGGTCGATCCAGTCGATGCCTTGATCATCGGCACGTCCACCAGCACGGCGCGGCTGATGATGCCCTCCTTGGCCTCCTCGACGGAGCCGAAGGTCGCGCCCAGGCTGGTGGAGACCAGGTGCGCGGGCTTCCGTTGTAGGTCTTGCCGTTCCAGAAGAAGTGGGCGAGGCTGTCGACGTGGGTCACGGTGTAGCCGTGGAAGATCATGCCGAAGTAGTCCGTGGCGGCCGGGAAGGCGCGGTTGCTGACCTTCTGGCCCGCTGGCCCAGCCCTCGCCGCTCTCCACCATGAAGTGCACTGGCGGCGAAGGGCGTCCAGCGAAGGCTCAAAGCTGACGGTGCGGGACATGGAGATGCGCACGCCCTCCTGCACCGTGGCGATGGCCTGCTTCACCTTGCCGGCGTGATCAGGTTGGGCGCGCCCAGCTCGTCGTCATCGCCCCACGGCCCCAGTTGGAGAACTTGTCGAAATAGCTGAGGACTTCATCCTCGGACGGAATGTTGGCTTGCGGCATCAATCAACTCCTTTATCACTGAGTCCCCTCTCTCAGAGAGAGGGTCAGGGTCGAGGGCAGGACTACACCGGCGGCGCGAGATGCACGTCCAGCACCCGCTCGCACCAGCGGGCGGCGGCCAGCAGGCGCTCCTCGCAGAACGGCGCCGCGAGATGATCTGCAGGCCCATCGGCAGGCCCGACTCCGCCAGTCTCGACGGGATGGTGATGGTCGGCAGGCCGCAGGATGTCCACGGCCCCTGGAACGCCGTGTTCCCCGTGTTGGACAGGTCGGCCAGCGCCGGTGTCGCAGTCGACGGCGTGATCAGCACGTCCGCGCTCTCGGCCAGCAGCTGCTGTCGGTGATGAAGCGCAGCCGCCTCTCAAGCGCGCAGCGGAGTAGTCCACGGCGCTGGTCTCCAGGCCCCGGGCCAGCAGTCGGCGCAGCAGCGGCCGGTACTCCTCGAGCGCGTCTCGTACATCGGCCGGTGGAAGGACGCTGCCTCGCAGCGCTGATATCATCTTGTCCGTCGATGGCGCGTGCCGAACTGTCCGGCAGTCTGACCTCGTCCACCACCGCGCCAGCGGCGGCGAGCTTGTCCAGCATGCCCGCGTGTGGCGTTGCGTCTCCTCGTCCGACTCCTCCATGAAGAACGACGTCACCAGGCTGATGCGCGGCGCCGCCCCGTCCTCCAGCCCCGACAGGTAGTCTGGTGCGGGAAGCGGGCCCACACCGGGTCGTTGGCGTCGGGCCCGGCCATCACCTGCAGCATCAGCGCCGCGTCCTCCACCGAGCGCGACATCCAACCCATGGTATCCAGCGACCAACTCACCGGCACCACTCCCGTGACGGCTGACCCGGCCGTAGGTGGGCTTGAGGCCACCACGCCGTTGTAGGACGCCGGGCGCAGCACCGAGCCGACGGTCTGCGACCCCAGCGCCACTGGGGCCATCCCCGTGGCCACCGACACCGCCGACCCGCTGCTGGAGCCGCCGGGGGTGTGGGCCGGGTTCCACGGGTTCAGCGTCTGCGACGGGTCAAGGCAGGCAAATTCAGTCGTAACCGTCTTGCCCATCATGATCGCGCCCGCACCCTTGAGGCTGTTCAGTCCATGCGCGTCGTACTCCGGCGGCGAAGTCGGCGTAGACCCGTTGCATCAGCTGTTTGTGGGGATGCCGGCAGTGTAAAAGATGTCCTTGACGCCCACCGGCACGCCATGCAGCGGACCCGGATTGGGCAGGGAGTCCAGCTCCCGCTGCCGCTGCTCCGCGTCCGCCAGCACGGTCTCGCGGTCGATGTAGACCCACGCCTGCAGCGATTCCAGCGCGTCGGTGCGCGCCAGCAGCGCCTCGGCCACATCCACCGCGCTGATCTCTCTAGCACGTATTTGCCGCGCCATCTCGGCGGCTGTAAGTTCATGCAGTTCCGGCATTTGTACTCCTCTGAGTCCCTTCTCCCTTGAGTGAGAGGGTTGGGTTGATGGCAAAAGTGAGTGGTGCAATTCGGTGGTCTAAACCGGCGGCCTGCGAGTGTGCCAGTCCGCCGATTCCTGACGCAGCGTAAGCGTAGCGGCACGGATAGCAGGCGATTCGCCCTCGTCGATAGGGATCGGCCCACCATCTGCTAAGGCCGCGGCACAGACAGTCCGACGTGAGGTGAAGCCGCAGTTGATGGACAGGCCGGGAACGCGCCGTGCACAGGTCTGGAGTGACGTCGCATGTACGTGACGCCTGCTCCTCGCCGCCAGCATGTGTTCAGAGGCCTGGCTCTTCTCCAGCGTTCTTGGCCAGGCCCTGCCCTCGTGGGAAGGGAAGCTGGTCGTCGCGCTGCACGACGATGTCGGCAGTATCAGCACATCCACGCGCTCCAGGGCGTCCAGTATGCTCTGGCGGAAGATGTGGCGCAGGCGGCTGGCCTTCTGGTGCGCCTGGGCCGGGATCAAGGCCCCGGTCAGTAGGCGACACAGCCACCGCGCACCCGGTTGTATGTCGAGTCCAGTATTCTCCAGGGTAGCTCATGTGGCATCCACGCGGCGTGCACCGCAGTGGCATCCACGTACAAATCAGGTGAGTGGATAGGGCTATGGGCTGCCCGCCTGGGACATGCATCGGATGAGACTGCGCTTTCCACCTTTGCGCCCAGTTCGCCCATATGCGTCCACCTGCACTGCACGCGTTCGACTGGCGTCGCGAACGTCCGGTTCCACCCCGTCGTCGTTCACGCGATCGCTGAGCACCCCCACCCGCAGGCCCTGAATGCCGCCATCGATCCCTTCCAGGTAGTCGGGGACCGGAGCGTTGCGAGTGTGGGAGTCGTTGGGGTCGTGTCCGGCAATAGCCTGCACAGTCGTCAAGTGTCATGGCTGCAGCCGAAATCCCGACGGTGCGGGAAATCGGCCCGGCGGCGGCGTCGTCCATGCGAGCTCGAAGTGTGATAGCGCCAGCATCCCGTGCGGTGACAGTCCCACGTCGGCACGGATGCTACAGGCCGCAGAAAGGCGGTGGGGCGTCCGCGAATCGAACCGGCCGTGTCCTCGCCCAGTGACGTGGCGCACAGGAACGCGGCTGTGGCCGCACCGGAGCCGCTGCTGGAGGTGCCTGGGTTGCGCGACAGGTCCCACGGGTTGCGCGGGCGGCCATATGGGTGATGAAAGGCGTCGCCCATGGCAAACTCGCTCATATTCAGCTTGCCCAGCAGCACCGCCCCGGCCTCTTTCAGCTTGGTCATTACCGTCGCGTCGTAATCAGGCACGTATTCGCCGAGAATCGACGAACCGCCGGTGGTGAGAACATCCTCAGTGCAGAACTGGTCTTTGACTGCCACCGGGACGCCGTGCAGCGGCCCACGGTATTGTCCGGCGCCGATCTCCGCTTGCGCCCGCCGGGCGTCCGCCCGTGCCCGCTCCGCAGTAACGGTGATGTAGGAGTTGAGGGAGGGGTCTATCTGCTCAATTCGGGAGAGGTAGGCTTCCGTCGCCTCCACGGGCGAGACTTCACCCGATTTGAGCAAATCCGCCAGCTCGGTGGCGCTCAGAAAAGGAATTTCGTTGCTGTTCATTGTTGAGGCCCTTTTTTACGGTTGATTGAGGGCGTTGACGCCCCGAAAGCAGCCCAATTTTGCAGTGGCCGTACACCTATGTCAACGAGACCGCCACCCTCCGCAGTACGATTGCAAAGTGTTTCCCGAGCCGATCATGGTGAGCCAGTCGAACCATCGGCGACTTAAACGGGCATCCCTGCGATCTTCCGTCGTTCCCGCGAAAGAACGTCACCCTCGCGGAAGCGGAGGCGGGAATCCAAACCCCCGTCACACCCACAAGAGAAGGGGAAGGGCGGAATCTACTCCGTCCGTCCCCCCGGCGCAGGCCCATCCCAAATCGTCACTCCCGCCCCCCAATCGTCACTCCCGCCCCCAACCGTCCTTCCCGCGTAACACGGGAACCAACCCCCCCTCACACCCGCAAGAGAAGGGGAAGGGCGGAATCTACTCCGTCCGTCCCTCCGGCGCAGGCCCATCCCAAATCGTCACTCCCGCCCCCAACCGTCTTCCCGCGAAAGCGGGAATCCAAACCCCCGTCACACCCGCAATAGCAAGGGGAAGGGCGGAATCTACTCCGTCCGTCCCTCCGGCGCAGGCCCATCCCAAATCGTCACTCCCGCCCCCAATCGTCATTCCCGCGAAAGCGGGAATCCAAACCCCCGTCACACCCGCCAATCCAGAGCAGGACAGGAACCCGCGTCCCCCAAAATTGCTGACAGTTGCCCCTTTACAAGCCTCATGACACATCTCTAGCCTGAATACATAGAAATACAACCCGCTGCCGCAGGCCGGATCCCAGCACGGAGTCGCGCAACTCCCAACGGCAAAAGACAAAAATGATCGGAAATGCTCGGGTTTGATCGGAAATAAGCGGATTATCCAAATTTTCGGAAACCATCAGGAGGCTGAACCATGTCGTCGCGCCATATGTCGTTGCGCCAGATCAGGAACGGCGTCGAGGCCCTCAAGCGCAAATTCGCCCCCGAGCTCGCCATCATCCGGCTCAGCCGCATCGCCAATGAGATCACCGAGCTCTGGCACATCGCCATTGCCAACAAGCAGCCCAAACCCGACCCCTACGCCTGCGTCCGCAAGGTGGCCGACGCCGGCTTCCGACTTCATACCTATATGGCCTTCGAGAAATACCTCCAGCGGTGCATCGACGACGACAGGCGTCCCGTAATAAGGGGAATCATCACCACCCTCTTACCCTGGACCGCCAATGGTTCCTGGCTGAACAACCTGGAACGGAATATCCCCGGCACCGCCTGATCCCCGCGATCTTTCGTCACCCCCGCGAAAGCGGGGGCCCAAACCCCCGTAACCCCGGATCGGCCCCACCCAGTCGCACCCAACCGCCATTCCCGCTCGCGGTGAGCCCGCCGAACCACGGGGCCTGCCGGACCACGGGGCCGCGACTCAACGCTCGGAAATGAGCGGGAGTGCTCGGAAATGATCGGGAATAGCAAAATTTTCAGCACCCACCCGTCATCCCCGCGAAAGCGGGGACCCAAACCCCCGTCAATATGTGCATCAAAAACGGAAGTCGGGCCTTTGCCTCGAAACCCCCAACCCAAAAATGAGACAGACTGAGACAAAAAGCGACACTTAAAACAACTTTCGTGGGTAACTTGAGACACCCAGACAAGAACTCAACGCCCCTTCGCTAATCCCGACAAGAGGCGCCAGGGTACCGAAATTTACCGGAAAAACAATAATTTCAGGGTGCCGGACAGTTGCCCCTTGGCAGGGTCGTTCGCGACCCGTTCGCGGACCTGGCACGGGATCCTCACCCCCATCGCGATATAATCAATACGCGGTAACCAATTGTAGAAGCGCGACCGCAGGAGGGAGGGACATGAGTCTTGCCGGAGTGGTCATGGCAGCAGGCGAGGGAAAGCGGATGCGTTCCCGTATTCCAAAGCCATTGCACCGCATCTGCGGGAAGGAGATGATCCGCTACCCGGTGGAACTGATGAAGGTTGCGGGTGCGGATCGGGTGATAGTTGTCGTGTCTCCGGATAATCGCGAGGCCATCAAGGCCGTCCTGGGCGAGACCGTGGAGTATGCCGTTCAGGAACAGGCCGACGGCACGGGAGGAGCTGTCGCGAGCTGCCTCCAACTCCTGCATGGCAACACCGAAAACATGCTGGTCGTAGGCGCGGACACTGCTCTGGTCCAATTGGATTCAGTGAACACACTGCTTGAGACTCACTCGGAGGCCGCCGCCTCCATGGCGGTGTTGACCGCTCCTAGTGATGGGCCGTCTGATCTCGGCAGGGTGGTGCTGTCCAAGGGAGGCAAGATCATCCGCATCGTCGAAGCATCCGAAGTCGAAGGGAACCGCGACGAATTATCACCGCTGTTCAACGCTGGCGTCTATTGCTTCAAATACTCTTGGCTTGAGCGAAGCATTGGTAAGCTCCGGCCCCGTCCCTCCGGTGAGCTGTACCTAACCGACCTTGCTGCCATTGGATCCAGGGCGAAGGCCGGGGTTTCTCCGGTCCTCGTCGGTGAAATGGAGGAAGTCATTGGGATCAACAATCGGTCGCAGCTCGCTATCGCCGAGGCGGTGATACGAGATCGAATTCGTGAGCAGTGGATGTTGGCCGGGGTTACCATGACCGACCCCGGCACGGTCTACATTGATGCCGACGTGACAATCGGGATGGATACCACAATCCTGCCCAATACCATCCTGAGTGGTACTACCTCTATCGGTGAGAACTGCGAGATTGGTCCCAACTCCGTGATTCGCGACAGCGCCATCGGCCACAACTGCCGCGTTACCTCGTCTGCCCTCGAGGAAGCCACCATGGAGGACCACACGGACATCGGCCCCTTCAGCCACCTGCGCCCGGGAGCCTATCTCGAGTCCGGAGTCCACATAGGCAACTACGTGGAGATAAAGGAGAGCAGGTTCAGGTCCGGCGCAGTGATGGGCCATTTCGGATACGCTGGAGACGCCACCATCGGGGCCAGGGTCAACGTCGGCGCGGGAATGATCACCTGCAACTACGATGGCAAGGCCAAGCACCGGACCGTGGTCGAGGACGACGCCTTCATCGGTTGCGACACCATGCTCGTGGCGCCGGTTACGGTGGGCGAGGGATCAATCACCGGAGCGGGAGCGGTGGTGACGAAAGACATACCCCCCGCTAGACTCGCCGTGGGGGTACCTGCTACCATTAAGCGCAACTTGAAATAGCCCGGCCTCCCCGCGGTGGCGGGTACAGGTGAGCCTGACACGCCAGCACACGCATTGAGTATCGGGAGACTTTTAGGTTTGGATACAGATAACCCCCCTCCAGATTTAGACCCTGACGGTCTTACACAGGCACATCGCCGGCTGCATATACCCCCTGCAACCGAGGGAGTTCCGACCCCCTCGCGTGGGACCTGCCGCACCACCTCGCTACCCCCATACTCTCCTTCGTCGAACCGCCGCCATGTCTCCGCTTGACTGGGTCGGGCGGCTGCTCGGGAAAAAGGCCGCGCCCGAGGCCCGCTCAAGGCGCACCACGAACGGCGGTATTCACGGCAACGGCGGAAACTCCAGCCGGGGTGAAGGTGTGCCCCCCGCCTCTGCCTACCCCGGCCTGATATTGCCCGCAGACGAGCCGGCCTTGACCGAGGCGGAGCTGAGCGGCCTGGACCACCGGGACCGCGAGATGCTCCGGTCAATCATAGAGCTCGACTACACCACGGTCAGGGAGCTGATGGTCCCTCGATTGGACATGGTGGCCATCGAGGCCGGAGTGTCCCTGGGCGTTGCCGTTTCCACCATCGTCGAATACGGCCATAGCCGTCTCCCTGTCTATGTCGAGACCATAGACGAAGTGCTGGGCATCCTCTACGTCCGAGACCTTCTGGCCGCGATTGCGGACCCACTGAACCAGAGCGACGTCCGGGCGCTTACCCGCCCCGCCTTCATCGTCCCGGAAACCAAGCGGGTCGATGAGCTGCTGGAGGAATTCCGCCAACGTCGCACACAGATAGCGATCGTCGTAGACGAATACGGCGGCACCGAAGGGCTCGTAACCATGGAAGACGTGCTGGAGGAAATCGTCGGGGAGATCGAGGACGAGTTCTTCCGGGGAAGGGACGCGGAGATCGCCCGCTCAGAAGATGGTACCGTCTACGTGACCGCGGGCGTCAGCACAGAGGAAGTAGAGGAGCTTTTCGGGGTAAGCATCGAAAGCGACGACTTCGACACAGTGGGTGGCTTCGTCTATCACCACCTCGGTCGTATTCCCCACGTGGGAGACATAGTTGAGAAAGAGGGTCTGCGCGTCGAGGTGGTAACGGTTGCTGGCAGAAGGCTTCGTTCCCTCAAGATAAACAGAGAGAACGGCGGCCCCACCGAGAATCCCGGTTAGACCGCCGTCCTTTTGGCTGCCAGATTGTAGTTCGGTTTCTAGCTGCTTGTCTTCCTCGCGATCAGCGTAGCGTCCACGATGAGTCTGTGGTCGTAGACCAGGCGTGGGAAACAGGATACCAGGTGAATGCTGGGACTTCCGTCTCCATCGAGAGTAATGTCGTCCTCGTGCACAACCCGCGTAGCGGTAACTTGGTACAGGAATTGCTCCGTTCCGTTGTCTGTAAAGATCTGTACTTCCTCACCATTGGTCAGCAATTCGGGTATAAGGTGGAGGTTGCGAAACACCGAACCCTCTCCCATCAGCGGACTCTCCATGTGACCGAAATACCAGCCGTCGCCATTTTCGCCGGCATCAAGGGTTTCAGGGATGTGTCCCACCGCGGAGTCGGGAGTCTCGTAAGCCCGGCGGTCGCCCAGGTCCTGAATGGACAGCTCCATCACAGAGGCCTGAATCTCCAAGTCGGGGATGCTGATGCTGGTAGCCGCAGCTACCGGGGACAGAGCATTCTCATCGGTGAAGTCGATAAGGACAAATCCATCGGGCAGGACGTTTTCAACTGCCGACGGGTCAAACCCGGAATAACCGGAATATAAAGATAATTCCGGAATAATGGAGGGAATGGACAATATGGGCGCAGGCGCGGGCTGCCGGTTAACCAGAACCGGCACGAGTTCAGCCGCGGACACGTTGTACTTGTCCAAGTCGGAGCGAGCGCTGCTAGCGTAACCGTAGTAGGCACCGCCCACCCCGATGAGAATCCCCCCGGCCAGTACCAGGGAGGCGCCAGCTATTCGCGTGCGGGTCCAGAATCGTCTGACCCCGTCGCGAAGGATCATGTAGTCATATCCGGCTATCACAGCGTCCCTCCTCCCGGTGCCCAGTAAGCCGCCATAATCAGGGCGGCCCGCCGGGACCGGGAACCTCACATCACCACCACACGGCTATTCCCCGGAGCGTTCAGGGAGCGCGGCGGAGGCGTCACGAAACAGGCTCTTCAGCCCAAGAATGGCGAGTTTCCCTTCAGCGAGCCCTGGGGGCATTCATAGAGCCCGGGGTAATGGGTTCGTTGAGGTAAATGTCGCCATTTCTAATCTTGATGTTGAATCCGCAAGGTGGATTCACGCAAACCCAAGCCTTGAAGTGCACCGCCGCTCCCTGACCACCATAATCCGACAGCGGCACCAAGTAGCCGACGTCGCATTTTAGGCACTTGGGTACGTTCATTTCACCCACAGGAACCACCTCCCTCACTGGCGACTGCGGTGAGTATAGCGTCATGCGCTGCGCATCTTCAACAAAATCGACTCTTAATATTGCGAATTTTTACGAATTCTGTTTACATAATGACGTATTCATTTATGTAAAGTAGAATTCCACCTATTTTTCGTGTTGTTTGCCTCTTATCTCGAAAGTCATAGTGCAAAATCCACCGTCAATCCCAGTGGCGTTTGGCATAGATCGCACTGAGAGTTCTAGTCCAAACGCCTACTTGGATGGAGAAAATTTACTCAAGGAAGTCCCGTAGTTTCCGGGATCGAGTGGGGTGTCGCAGTTTTCGTAGCGCCTTGGCTTCGATCTGACGAATTCGTTCCCTAGTCACACCGAATTCGCGTCCGACCTCTTCAAGGGTACGACTGCGCCCATCTTCCAAGCCGAATCGCAGCACTAATACCCTGGCTTCCCGTTCAGTTAGTGTGTGCAACACCTCATCCACCTGCTCTTTGAGCAGTTGGAATGATGCAGCATCCGCAGGGGCAGGGGCGTTTCGATCCTCAATGAAGTCCCCCAAATGGGAGTCTTCCTCCTCGCCTATCGGAGTCTCCAGCGACACTGGCTCCTGGGAGATCTTCAGAATCTCCTCGACCTTCTCGGGCCCGATTTCCATAGCCAGCCCAATTTCCTCAGGGGTCGGCTCACGACCGTATTCCTGGAGCAACCGACGGTGCTGGCGCATCAACTTGTTGATGGTCTCGACCATATGCACTGGAATGCGAATGGTGCGGGCCTGGTCAGCGATGGAACGGGTGATGGCCTGCCTGATCCACCAAGTGGCGTAGGTGCTGAACTTATAGCCCTTGCGGTAATCAAATTTTTCAACCGCGCGGATCAGGCCAATGTTTCCCTCTTGAATCATATCCAGCAGGGCCATGCCGCGGCCGATATACTTTTTGGCCACGCTGACCACAAGACGCAGGTTGGCCTCGGTAAGATGGGACTGGGCCTTGCTGCTGTCCGCATCCACCCGGTTGTAGTGCTGCCCCAGCAGAGGGTCAAGCCGCTGTAGCCTGGCCAAGTGTTCTGGGTTGCCCAACGCAGAGCCCAACTCGGTGAGCGGAGCATCCCGAAGGGCGTCCACGGTCGGCTGGGCCAGCACCCAAGAACTGAGCGACAGGTCGAGTACCCGGCGGTATACGTCCTCCGAAGGTTCATCAAGGTCCTCGGCCAGCCGCGCCAGCATCTCCTGCGACACCTCGGCGTCAATGAAGTCCCTAAGGTGGGCGTTGGTCATGATCTGCGACAGCGCAGGATTGACAGGGAGCAGGCTGGGGTTGGTGCCGGATGGGCGCTCCCTGTTCTCCAAGAGGTGAGATAGATCAGGATTGAACGGCAGGACGTCCTGCTTTATGGCCTGACGCAACTCGGGAGGCAGCGCCTCCCGCAGATCAGGCATTTCCAGGATTTCGGATAACGTCGGGTTGAACGGCTCAACCGACGGTTCCGGCTCAGGAGTCTCCGGAGCCTTCGATTCGTGGCCACCTTCCGATTCCTGCACTTGGAGCACAGGACCGTACGCTTCACGCAACCCGGCCTTGATATCCTCGCTGACCTCTGGGTTGCTAAGTATGTCCAACAGCCTGGCGTCTGCCGGCAGTACTTCTTCCTCTCCTTCCTGTACATCCTTCAGCGCCGCCTTGACCTCGTCGCTTACTTCCGGATTCTCGAGTATTTCTAACAGGGTTGGATTGGTGAGGAGGCCTTCTTCCCCCATTTCCGGATTGGCATCAACAGCCCCATTGTTACCCTCGTAATCCTCAGCAGCATCTGCGGCCGAAGAATCTTCCGAAGGGAAATGGGTTTTTATGATGTCTCTCAATTCGGGTGTATCCAACAGCTGCGAGAGGGCCTCGTCGTGGCGGTCATGGAAATCCCGGGCCATGGCGGAAATCAGAGGCTCGTTGTTGGAGATGCGGTCAAGCAACCGACCCGTTATCTGCCACGGTTTTGGGTCATCGTCCAATTCCCCCAAGAGCTCCGCCTTCACCCCCTGGAGGTGTTTGCCGCCCTCCAACTGCCGGGCGAGCTTGCGCTCGTCTGCAGAGGTGAGAAGGCGTACACGACCAATCTCGCGAAGGTACATACGGACGGGGTCGTCCAGCACTTCCGTGGTCTCGGCCGCCTCCGGCTCCCGTTCGGTGTCTTCCGCCTCAGCCTCGGTAGTAGCTCCATCAGTGCTTTCCGTTCCGCCCTCCTGGTCGGGAGTGTCCCATTGCTCCTCCTCACTGGGCACTGGCAGAGCTGCCGCCCTGGGGGTGGAGATCCCGTCGCCATCCTCAGAGGCATCGTCCTGAACAGCGTCCACTTTGCGAAAGATATCGATGATGGGGTCCCGCTCTTGGGTCTCTTCCTCGGCGGCGGGTTCCAAGAAATCATCAGGGTTAAGTTCTCTGGCTCTATGAGTGACCATGAAATCTCCTTGAATAGACTAAGAAAGTTATACGCATACTGAATTGATCTGAAACAAGTACTGGCGCCGAATCACAAGCCGTGCTTGAGACTTCTGGCGAGTTTCTAATGACTGGCCCTGAGGCCCGATCTCGTCTCCTGATTTCTTTTCAGCCTCTCGTTGAGGGCCACTGCAGTTCTATGGTCCTCATCGTTCAATCCTTCGGGTGAATCGACGAACCGATCGTACTCATCCTTTTTCTGCTGTCGGAGATTGCGCTCTTCTAGGCGGGCCACCACATCTCCGAGAGCTCGTCTCCGCTTCAAGAGATCCATTGGTGGGAGTGTCCTTGCCTTCAATGACTCGAGCTGTTCACGAATTCCAAGCGGCCCATCGTTAAATTCCTCCGCTCTTGAATGAATTTCCTCGATCTCCTCTTGTTCGGTTAGCGAGGCAGCATCCAACAGGAGTCGGCTGAAAATCTCACGATTCTCCGCCCGCAGAAACATGTCCTCGGTAAGAGGTTGGGCATATTCACCCAGGTCGGGATGCCGCAGCAATAGGGAGAGGCAGTACTCCTCCAACGGATCGTGGTCCAGGCGGGCGAAAGGCGACGCCGTTACTGCCTCACCCGATTCGGTGGGCGCCTGTCCGGCAGAAGAACTCCTCGGCCGCCGTTCCTGAGCGGGCCTGCTGACGCTGGCCCGCAGAGTGTCCAGTGGTACCTCCAATTTTTCGGCCAGCATCCGGAAATACTGGTCTTGCTGCGGCCCGTCCTGAACCGTAAAGATCAGTCGTGATACCTGGTTGGCGATGGCGGCCTTACCCCGTGCCAACGAAGTGTCTACACTTGCAGACATGGTGGAGATCACGAATTCCAGCAATGGCCTGGCATTCTCCACCAACTCTTTCCATTCTGAGGGAGAGCGCCGTATAACTTCATCTGGGTCCTGCCCAGGCGGCAGGGTGGCAATCCGGATCTCGGGATTCTCCTGTCGCTGCAGCACCGTGGTGTCCCCGGAACGGCCTGCAACCCTGCTATGGTAAATTCGCCAAGAGGACTCAAGGCTACGGAGGGTTGCCTGCTGGCCTGCCGCGTCCTGGTCAAGGGCCATGGTCACGCGGTCGGTGAGCCGCCTGATGGTGTTTACCTGCGGTTCGGTCAGGGCGGTCCCCATGGAGGCAACCACATTCTGAAAACCTGCCTGATGCGCGGCGATCGCGTCCATGTAGCCCTCAACTATGACCGCGCCGTCTCTCCTGATGCTGTCCCGCGCCCGGTCCAATGCGTAGAGGATGCGGCTCTTGTCGAACACCTCGCTCTGTGGAGAATTGAGGTACTTGGGCTGCGAATCGTCGAGGGCCCTGCCTCCGAATCCTGCCAGCCGCCCCTCTGCCTCCCTTATCGGAATGATGAGCCTTCCCCGAAACAGGTCCCGCTGCTGGCCGTCATCTCCCTCTCTGACAATCCCCGCAGCCACCAACTGGGCCGCATCGAACCCCTCACGCAAGAGGTGAGTGCGGAGCGACTCCCCATCTTCGGGGGCCAATCCGAGCTGGAACGCCTCAGACGCGGCCCGATCGAGGCCACGGCGCTCCATATAGGACCTAGCGTCTGCCCCCTGGGTGGATGCGAGGGTACGCTGGAAAAACGCGCAGGCCGCCTCATTGATCCGGAAGGCCGGATGATCAGAGCGAGAGTTCCTTCCATCCGACAACTGGACGCCGACCTGTCGCGCCAGTTGCCTGATAGCCTCGCCGAACTCGAGGTTTTCGGCCTTCATAACGAAGTTAATTGCGTCGCCGCCGGTGGCGCAGGCACCGAAGCATCGCCATGACTGCCGGTCAGGGAAGACGTGGAAAGACGGGGTGCGCTCTTGGTGGAAGGGGCAATTGCCCTTGTGGCTCCGCCCGGACCGTTGCAGTTGAACCCGCTGCCCCACAACGTCCAGAATATCCAGCCTGGCTTTAATGTCATCTATCACGGCCACAACAAGCCCTCCTGAATCCGGACCTCAACAGCCAATAAGCCGGTCGCCGGACTGCAGAACCCTACATGGACCAACCGGACCGAAAGCCTGGCCAAAACCGACATCAACTAACAAGCCGGTTTCCGAAATTGCACATTAGGCCAATGCTATTTTATCAAGCATTGCTTTCTGTTGCAAGAGTCGGTCAAGGTTGTCCGTAACAACCGCGTCCAGCCTGGCTCCGGCCATCCGCGACAGATCCCCACCGAAGTCCACGTCCCACGCGAGTGTGCGAACGCCCCGTTTCCTCATCTTTTGCATAAGCCGCGGGTTGTAGCTATCGTTGGCGGGGTCGTACCAGTGGGCCCTGACCAGGCAATTGAAGCAGCGGGAGCGAATAGGGGGAGGATGGCGGCGGGACCAGATGTAGCCGCGCAAAATACCTGGGTCGATTTTTCGCAATTCCCAGAGGGAAATTGGGTTGAAGCTGGCTACAAGGGTACTATTCAGACGCTGATGCCGGCGAACGACATCGGCAACCCGGTGTGCGATGAGACGCATGCGGTCAATGACCGCCTTCATTTCAACGTTGACGAGGAAGTCCTGAGGTAGCATCTCGAAGACCTCGTCGAGAGTCGGCGTTTGCGCTCCGCGGTACTCTGGACTAAACCACTCCCCAACGTCCAACACACGGATCTCATCAAGGCTCGCATTAGTAACGAGACCGTTGACACCAGCGATGCGCTTCAGGCTGCGGTCGTGAAACACCACCAACTGGTTGTCACGCGTGAGGCGAACGTCGAGCTCTATACCGTCCGCCCCACTCTCGTACGCTTTCTGGAAGGCTGGAAGCGTATTCTCGGGGGCTTTGGAGGCGTCACCGCGGTGGGCAATGATGAGGGGGCGCGGAAGGGCACCGGGCAGGAAGTCCCAAGTGTTGGGGCCTTCTGAGGGGGCAGGGTCCAGTGCGGGGTCGGCTGTCTGTGTGAGATCGGCCAAGCTACACTCGTACATCGGCAACCAATGTAGAACATAAAGTAGCGGTCGCTACTTCTACTGTCAAGGCATTTCGGATGAAAGAGGGCCTCGGAGCAAGCAGCAAGTATGTCCCGGCCCGAAACCGATATTTCAAGTAACGGGTTTTTCGAAGTACGATTTGTCAGCCCCGATCCTGACATTCGGAGAATTGGCGTTAGAATACTGAGGTTCCCGCCGAACCTGGCATTCGAGTCAGCGCGGAGAATAGCTGTGGAGCATTGATGAGGCCGAACTCGGGCGTTCGCGGAACAGCAGTGGAGTTGATGCGAGAGCGGGACTTTCGCGTCATCTGGTCCGTGGGGATCCTTGCTGAATTCGGAAGGCGCTACGAAATTCTGGCTTTCAGCCTGTTGATCCTCGAGATTACCCACTCCCCCGCCCAATTGATGCTGCTCTGGGTGTTCAATAACCTTCCCCGGCCATTTGTGTCGTCTATGGCCGGCTACATTGCTGACCGATTTCCCCGGCAGCGTGTAATGTTGCTGGTCCAAGCAGCAAACATAGCCACCACCGGGGCCATGCTGGGGTTGATGCTGTACGGCTGGACTCCCTCCAGACATGGCACATATTCGTGGCGGCCCTCATCCAGGGAACTACTAAGGCAATTGAGGACCCATCCAGACGGACGGGCATATTCGACATCGTTGGGCGCGACCGGCTGGTCAATGCGATGTCACTGGACGTGATCTCCCAGAACGTGGGGAAGATGATTGGCCCGGTGATCGGCGGCCTGCTCATCCAGTTTTCGGGGTACCCGGTTGCGTATATGTTCCTGTTGTTCGTCCACCTCGACAATCTGTTGCTGATCTCTAGGCTTCGAATTCCCGAGACCGGGCTACGTGCAGCCATGCCTCCTATTTGGCAGGGCCTCAGTGACTCCTTTGGCTTTGCTTGGAAGAGCCGGATGCTGGTCGGGATGCTGTCAATAACCATAGTGATGAATGCCTTGGCATTCCCTCTTCAACAGTTTATTCCAGCAGTTGGACAGGAACTGCTGGGAGTTGGCCCCGCGCTGGTGGGCGCGCTGGTTGCGGCTGACGGGTTCGGCCATCTTGTTGGCGCAGGTGTGGTCGCGTCGACGCGAAGAGTGAGGTACCACGGCCGGTACTTCACCTACGGTTCTATTGTCGTTTTGCTGGCGTCGTCGGCATACGTATGGTCGCCTTGGTATGCTGGGGCATTCGCGTTGCTGTTTGTGAGCGGTCTCGGTCAGGCCGGGTTTTCCACGATGCAGAGCAGCATAATGATGCTGGTGTCTCCACCGGCAATGCGTGGGCAGATGATGGGGTTGCTCAGTTTCTGCATCGGCATAGCCAACCTGCTGGGCGCCTTGGAGATCAGCTACGTGGTATCCCTGCTGTCGCTGCAGCAGACCATATCGTTGCACGCCATGGTGGGACTGACCCTGATGCTCCCCGCCATAGTGTTCACTCCGCTGATCTGGCAGCCACTGACCCCGCCCGAGGTGAGTCCGGCCACCTGAGCGGTTGCCCCTCGGATTCCCAGGCGGTATATTCACTCTGGTCCGCCCCCGGTCTGCTTAGTTAACGTCGACATGAAAGGCGGGTTTACGGAGTGGTCAATGACGCAGGTAATCGACTGGCCAGCGCGAATGCAGGAGCTGGCCGAGTTTGTCGGGCTGGACCAAGAGGGGCTGGAGCTGATCCAGTCCACCCGTGACTTGATCTTGGAGCACGGCGACGATTTGACTGCGGCAGTTTATGACAATTTCCTGGATTTTCCGGAGACGCGCCGGTTCTTCGCCGACGAACACGGCGAGGTCAACGAGGACAGGCTCACAAGACGCAAGCACAGCCTGATGCGCTGGCTACGAGGATCTGTGGACTTCCAGATGGACACGGACTACCCCATTCGAGTGCTGGCAATGGGGATTGTACACAGCCACCCGCCACTGCACCGTGCCCACCTTGGGTCGGTGCCGGCCCGATTCATGATCGGGACAATCGGGTACATCCAAGCTGCGGTCACCGACCTGCTGAGGCGGGAACTTAAGGATCAGGGGCTAGCCATCAGGGCAGCAGAGGCGTGGAACAAAATGCTCATGCTGCAGTTGGATATCATGCTTGCAGGCTACATCAACGAAGTGCCGAACGAACCAGTTGCTGGGGGACCGCAATACACCGGCCCGGGTGCCGAGTAACGCCGAGTTTTAACAGAGGAGCAGACGGTATGAGCAAGGTGCTGGTGATCCAGGGCGCAGGAATGAACATGCGCGGCAAATCGCAGGTCGAGATTTTTGGATCAGCGACCTTAGAGGAAATCGACGAGCAGATCAAGGGTTACGCCGAGGGTCTGGGCATCGACGTAGAGCTGTTCCACTCGAACATCGAGGGCGAGGTGGTTAACGCGCTTTACGACGCTCATGATCGAGACTTCGACGCGTGCCTCATAAACCCGGCGGGCTACACCACGGTGGCAGGCCCTCTGCGAAGCGCCATTACGCAGGTCAAGTTCCCAGTTTTCGAGGTACACGTGTCAAACCCAACTTCAAGAGGAACCGTCTCTCAGGTCTTACCGGTGTGCAAGGGGGCGGTGTACGGATGTGGGATCTACGGCTACAGGCTGGCTCTTGAGGCAGTGCAGCAACTAGGTTAAATGGATTATCCCTCGTCCACCAGGCGAGGAAATGGAGTCAGCAGGTTTGAAAGGAAGCGGGCGGGTTTTTACCCGCCCCTAAGAATATTACTATTCGCAGCGCAGGCAACGCGGTTCGGAAAACACCGTCGCATGTATGTCCGGGCTGGTGATGAGGTAGTCGAGCACTACGCGCATCGCTTTGTCTTCGCTGGAGAGATTGAACTTCTCCTTGGCCTGCCTGATGAAGGCCATCTGGTCCGGATTCAGTTCAATTGTGTACGCTTCCTTGGGACCCGCCATATCAAATACTCCTTGGCTCAGCCGGATTGGGCGGCAGGCCGCCCGACGCGCTTTTAGAATAGAGTACGGGGCGGCGGCGTGCAATGATCGGGGTAGGGCTTGCTCCGGTCCGGGAGGGGATTCGAACTCTTGCTGAGAAACGAACTAGTCCTACTGACTATACTCCCAGTCCTCCCAGTCCTCCCAGTCCTCGCACTCCTCGCAGCCTGCGGGGGCGAACCTGCGCCTACCTCAGGCAACTCCCTGGCGGCCGCTGCAGGCAGGCCGGTACCCGCGTCCTCACAACCCCTTCCAACCCTTCAGGCAACGGCCACAAGCCTTCCGCCTACGCCTACCGTGCCAAGTCCGGGCTCTCCAATGACCGAATCCGCAGGCACTTTCCCCATAGCAACCAGTTCGATTCCGGTATCTGTTGTTAGGGTTGCCGAGCCCACGGAAATACCTACGCCTACCGTCGAACTCTCATCTACCATTCCTCCCGATACGACCGAGGAGGATATCGCGACCATACTCAGCATAATCGAGGAGTATTGGGAGGCTCTGAACGAATACGACGTCGACCGCGCAATTCCAATGCTCGAGGAGAGTTACCGGACGGCCGAGGAGGAGCTCATCAGGAAAGATACAGGTCGGATGAAGCTCTTCCGAGCCAAGCTGGGGGTGTCAGAAGAAACGCCCCTTTCGCTGAAGGAAAACGGTGAGTATGAGACTTACCTTAGCGTCAAAACTCCCGTCGATACCCGCCGCGTGCTGATGGTGTTCCGCAAGATCGAAGGGCAGTGGTGGATTGGCTACTCCGACTTAGTCGAGTAGCCAAGTTCTATGGGCTGGGCGAATGCCTAAAGGCAGGCGTCGGTTACGGCCTGGGAAATGGCCGCTAACCTAGGTGTGTTGCTGATTTCGGCGCGGAAGCCGTTGGTTATGTAAGCCACCGCCAGACCGGTGTCGGGGTTGGCCCAGCCAACCGACGTGCCCGAGCCCGCGTGACCGAAGGTGTGAGGATCCAGCTTTTCAGGATCGCCGGTACGCGGGTCGGCCAGCGAAAGTCCCATCCCACGGATTACGCGTCGATTCAGCGAATGGTCGATACCTTCGGAGTGGGGCGAGATGACCTCTTGCACTGTTTCCGGCTGCATTATGGTCGCACCGTCGAGAGTGCCACCGAGCTGCATCATGGCAAAGAACCGCGCCAGGCCCCGGGGCAGTAGAAATGCCTCCTCCCGCAGGCTGCACGGTACGGTGCACCTCGGGGCGATTGTACAGGTCGACCTGGCTGCGGCGGTCGCAGTCCTCCATGGCGTGCAGCCTGGATACGCGGTCCAGCAGCCACTCTGGCAGTCCGATGTACAGGTCGTTGATGCCCAAGGGGCGGGTGATTTCCTCTCGGACAAAGCGGTTGATGGGGCGGCCGTCGATTCGCCGGACCAGTTCGCCAATGACCCAGCCGAAGTTGCGCGGATGGTAGGCGATGACTCGCCCTGGAGGATAATCGGGACGGAGATCCTCCATGGCTTTTACAGCAGCATTCCAGTCGCTCCAGCGGTCCCACGTCATGTGGCTAGGGCTGTCAGGAAACCCCCCACGATGGGTCAGGACCTGTCCGATGGTCACCTCTTCCTTGCCGGACTGGGCGAACTCGGGCCAGTGGTCCGCGACGCGGTCCTCCCACCGGAGCCTGCCGCGCTCCCAGAGGATGTGGAGGCAGGCGGCCGTCACCGGCTTGGTGGAAGAATAGAGGACGAACATGGTGCTCTCGTCCACGGGACGGCCTGTAGTCTGATCGGCGAGGCCACCATAGAGGTCCAGCACCAGTTCACCGTGATGGTAAACGGCCAAAGCGGCCCCTGGGGTGGAGGCTCGACTCTATCTGTTCGAAAAACAGGTCCTTGATGCGATCTAGACCCTTGGGGTCCATCCGCGTTTCCGTCGGCGCTCCTGCGCCGCAAGCGACAGTCACTACGTGTTACCTCACCGCATCCAGTGGGCCGATGTCATCCATACAAGCGGCCCGAAGCATCTTCAATAGGAGTTTAAGCAACGCTAAGTTCGGCTTTGCCCAATCCCTCGATTTCGATCAGGGCGGAATCACCAGCCTGGAGCCACTTGGGCGAAACGATACTGCCGGTGATCACCACCATACCTGCCTTAAGTTCCTTGCCGTGGGCCGCCAGGGCATTGGCCAGCCAGGCCAGAGGCTCCAGCGGGTGCCCCATTTACGTCGGAGCCCACCCCTTCTCCCACCAATTCGCCGTTGATTTCCATGTAGCCCCGGCAGCCGGCCAGATGAATGCCCCGCCAGTCGTTCACCGCCTCACCCAGCACGACACCAGCGTTCAGGATGTTGGACGAGATTGTGGTCAAGAGCTGCGTCTGGGTGTCCTGACCCTGAGTGCGACGATTGTCTATGACTTCGAAGGCTGTCATCACCGCTTCGACCGCATCAGAGACACCGTCCCTGTCGTAGGGAGCGTCTGACGCAGGCAGGTCACGGCCAAGCCGGACGCCGACCTCGCACTCAATGCCCGGCTGGAGGAAATCTGCAGAGTTCAGCTTGGCAGGGGAGTGCCGCACGTTCTTGGCGAGGATCACACGGCCACCGGCTCGCTGATTCCCGAGGACTGCTGCAGTGCGGCAGTGGTATAAGCGATTTTGTATCCTGCTACCGCACCAAAGTCCTTGGCCAGCGCGCCCTGGTATGAATCCTGGACCTCATAAGCTTCGTTGATGCTCTCGGGCAGCAAGTCTCCCTCGAGCAGATACTTCTCCTTGTTCCGGAATTGCTCCAGCAGCGCCTCGGCCGCCTGCGATACTCTGCTCATCTCTTCCTCGCCTGTGCATTACCGTACTCGGTTCAATTATACCTAGACCATTTGGTTCCATGGTCTCGCTATTCGTACGGAGCAAGCTGAATTTCGTGGAGGGCCGGTACCACTTCCTTGCCCAGCAACTCCACAGATCTCATTACGTCCTTGTGCGGGATGTTGCCGTCGCTGCCGATGAGGATCATATAGCCGGGATTGAGTTGCCCGATGGTCTCGGACAGCCTCCTAGTGACAGTTTCGGGGCTGCCCACGATTATGGCCCCCACCTGCTGCAGATCCTCATAGCCCATGGGCGGGCCGCCACCGCCGCCGATACGCCGGGCCGCGAGGCGGCTGGCCGTGGGCGACTGGTACCCGGGCGGGTCTACGTGCTCCGCGGGACCGCGCATACGGTGCTGACCGGCCCACAGGAATCCGCGGCCCAACTCCTGCGCTTTTTCGTCGGTGTCCGCCACCAGCGCCCGTACCTGGTATCCGAAGTGCTCGGGGCCGGGTGTGAAGCCGACTTCCTTGGCGTATCAATGTAGACCTGTTTCAGCTCCTCTGGTCAGGCCTATAAGGGCACCCAGGTTCATGTAGGCGTACTGATGGCTGGCCGCCCAGACCACACTCTCAGGGCTACTGCCGCCGGGGAACCAGACGGGTGGGTGGGGCTTCTGCACCGGCAGCACCCACGGATTGACCACGCGGTGGTGATAGTACCGGCCCTCGAAACGGAAGGGGCCGGGTTCTGTCCAGCACTTGATAATCAGGTCGTGGGCTTCCTCGAAACGGTCCCGGTTCTCTGTCGGGTCGATTCCTGCCTGGAGCGTTTCTACCGCACCGCCGCGGACGAACCCCGAGATGAGCCGGCCGTTAGAGAAGCAGTCGAGCATGGCCAGTTCCTCGGCCATGCGCACTGGCTCATTGATGGGAATGATGTTACCGAGAATGGCGATTCTCACCCGGTTGGTGATGCGGCTGATGACCGCCGCATCTATGTTGGCCGAGGGCTTCATGTTCCAATACGACGAATGGTGCTCGTTGGTCATGATGCCGTCGAGGCCTGCCTCGTCGGCCATTGCGTATTGCTCGTGGTACTGGTTGTACAGTTGATGGGCTTTTTCCGGGTCGAAGTAGGTGTTGGGGAAATCAAGCCGACCGGACTTGAACTGTGCGATGTCCTCTTCGTTCAGGTGGGTATAGGGCTGCTGGGAATGGAAAAATACTTCCACTGTGTCTTTCATGACGGCCCTTCCTCCGGTTGATTCGGCGCTTGAAAGCCCGGCTGAGTTCGCTCAGGAGATTTCGATTCCTACGGGGCAGTGGTCGGAACCCATTACGTCGGGCAAGATGAAGGCATCGGTGAGATTTGTGGCGAAGTCGGTGTCGGCGAAGAAGTAGTCGATGCGCCAGCCGACGTTCCGGTCCCGTGCCCGGGTCATCTGGTCCCACCAGCTATAGTTGCCGGGTTCCTGGTTAAACTGGCGGAAAGTGTCGACGTAGCCATGATCGAGGAACGTGTCCATCCAGGCACGCTCCTCGGGCAGGAAGCCGGATATTTTCTCGTTTTCCTTGGGGCGGGCAAGGTCGATTTCCTTGTGGGCGGTGTTGACGTCGCCACACACCACGACGTTGCGTCCCTCTTTCCTGAGGTTGTCGACGTATTCCAGGAAAGAGTCGTAGAACTCCATCTTGTAGAGCAGACGATCCTTGGAACGCTTGCCGTTTGGGAAATAGATGCCGAGGAACACGAAGTCGTCAAAGTCGGCGACTACGGTGCGGCCCTCCGTGTCGAAACGCTCGACGCCAAGGCCAAAACTGACACTGCGCGGCTCCTGGCGGGTGTACAGGGCAACGCCGCTATAGCCCTTGCGCTCCGGCTGGGTAAAACCACGCCCGGTAGCCATCAACATCCTTGAGGGCCGCGGGCAACTGGATTTCGTGGGCCTTGGTCTCCTGGATGCACAGCACGTCGGGCTGCTCGGACTCTAACCACTCCAGGAACCCTTTTTTATGCACCGCCCGAATGCCGTTGACGTTCCAAGAGATCAGACGCATAGGCCACTCCGCTTAGTAACCGGAATCAGCCACGATTATAGCAAACAGGGGACAGTGAGGGAGCCATTGCCCAGCGGGGCAGGGCCATCGCGGGCAGTGTCAGGGGTATCGAAATTCCTGTCATTTCCTGACATTCGCTGACATTTCCTTGTATCTGCCACTATCCGGGTCGTGCAGGAGGCAGGCGAGTTGACAAGTTGCCGTTCCCAGTTGCCATGAAAATGATTCCTTCTCTTCCCCATTCACGGCCACATTGCCCAGAGGGTCATCAGCAAATTCCGCAGGTATAGGCTTGGCCGGGATCACGGTGCACCCTTGCCTGAACTTCGGTGATTTTCTCTTAGCGGCTCTTGAAAATTCTTGATTTCCCTGCCATACCCTGCCACCGGCAGCCATTTCCGAAAATTCAGTCACCCGGCGGGTTGCCAGACCGCTGCCAAGGGCGTCCTACGGGTTGTACTCGCAAGATCAGGTTACGCAAGTGTCATGAGGTTTGGCAAGGGCCTTCTGTCAGCAAATTGCGGGATGGTTCTGCCACGGCCTGAGCACAGAGGACGATACGATGCAGGATCAGGGCAATCGCGTCTTATTACTCAGCACACAAAATTGGTCTGAATGGCGGTGGAGATGGGAGTGGCAGTGCCTGCTTCGGTTCCGGGTGCGAGGGTAGACGGGGGTTTGGATTCCCGCCTGCGCGGGAATGACGACTCATAGGGCCTCCGGCGTTTAAGACGCGATTGCCCTGGATGCAGGATGAACCGAATTGGAACGCTGTGCGCACGATGCTATCATTGGCATCGCTTTGCCATTCCGGCACATTCCGAGTCCAAAACGGGCGGTGAGCTTGCTATGGTCAGGACGGGGCAGCAATACATGGAGAGCCTGCACGACGGGCGGCAGGTGTTCTTGGACGGCGAACTGGTGCCGGACGTGGTGGACCATCCGGCTTACCGCAACGCTGTGCGAACCACAGCTGGCCTATACGATTTTCAGGCCGCTCCTGAAAACCTGGAGGCGATGACCTTCCAGTCGCCCACCAGCGGAGAGCGGGTCAACCGGAGCTGGCAACTGCCCGAGTCATACGACGAGCTGGTTACCCGGCGCAAGGCCATGGAGGCGTGGGCAGAGTGCACCTACGGGTACATGGGGCGATCCCCTGACCACGTGGCCTCGTCGCTGGCCGGAATGATGATGCGGCTCGACCTGTTCAAGGCGCACGGCGAGGAGCGGGCGAAAGCGCTGTCCGACTACTACCGGTACGTGCGCGACAACGACCTGTTCGTCACCTACACCATAACCAACCCGCAGGGGTGGACAGGTGAGCACGACGAGTTCCTGGTTGCGGGCATCTGCGACGAGGACTCGACCGGCGTGACGATCAGGGGCGCGAAGACGCTGGGAACGAGCAGCATTCTAGCGGACGAGGTGCTGTGCACCACCATCCAGCCACTGACGCCCGCGGCCGAAAAGCATGCCTTTTCGGTGGCCCTTCCAATGAGCACGCCGGGGCTGAAGGTACTTTCGCGCAAGTCCTACGAGGCGTGGGCGCAAAGCCAGTTCGACAACCCTCTCTCCTTCAGCCTGGACGAAAACGACGCCGTTCTCTACTTCGACGAGGTCAAGGTGCCTTGGGAGCGGGTCTTCATCCATCGCGACATTGGGCTCTGCCGGGACCAGTTTCACGAGGCGCCAACCCACATCTTTCAGAACTACCAGTCACAGGTCAGGGTGATGGTGAAACTGCGCTTCCTGGTCGGGCTGGCCCGAAGGATGGCAGACGCCAACGGCCTGACCCGCATCCCGCAGGTGGTGGAAACGCTGGGCAAGCTGGCGGCGCAGGCCGGGGTGATCGAAAACCTGGTCAAGGGAATGGAGGCGGCGGGGCGATACGTAGGGCCGTACTTCGTTCCTGATCGTCACCCCCTTTACTCGGCGCAGGTGATTGCCCAGGAGATGTATCCGCAGATCATGGACACTTTGCGCGAACTGGCCGGGGGCAGCCCGATTATGTTGCCCTCGTCCGTCAAGGACTTTGGGAACCCTGAGATAGCGGACTACATCGCCCGCAGTCAGAGCGCCGTCGGGCCGGAGACACAGGAACGGGTCAAACTCTTCAAGCTGGCGTGGGACGCCATCGGCTCCGAGTTCGCTTCCCGACATATCCAGTTCGAATTGTTTTACGCCGGCGCCGGTTACGTGGTGCGAAACAATTCCTACCGGACCTACGATTGGGACAGGGCCACTGGCATGGTTGACGGCCTGCTGGGCAGTTACGGGCTGCCTGGATAAGCGGGGCTTACCTGCGCAAGTCCTGGTCGAACTGCACCAGAATACCGTCCGGATCGTAAACGAAGAAGGTGCGCATCGCACCCTCGGCGTCGGTGAAATCTTCAAGGTTCCCTGCCAAGGGAACGCCCTTGGACACCAACTCCTCAGCGTACGCGCGAACGTCTTCCACTGCGAAGGAGATGTGACTGATTCCAATTTGGTCCAGCTTTATGGGCTCTCCTTCGACCGCGCTACCAGGGTGTGAGGTCAACACCAGAAACGGCTGTGAGGTGTCTGGATCGTCAAACCACACGTTGGCGACAGTGCGCGACTCTCGCGGTCGATGGTACATCTCCGCCGACTCAGCGCCCGGCCTCTGGGCCATCGCCTGAGTCGTGTGCAGCCTGACGGTCAGGCCTAGCAGATCGCGATAGAAATGCAGGGAGCGGTCAAGGTCGGCTACACACACCGCTATGTGGGAAACTCCTTTAGCATGCATCTCATACCCTCCTTGTCGATTGCTATTATGATAAGGCCAAACGGGCCAACACAAAATCCTGAACTTGCGCGGCGCGACGGAGTAAAACCATGACCATCCCTGCACAGTTTCCCCTCAGTATGCCGACGGGCCTGCCGCTACCACTGGAAGGCTTACGGGTACTGGACGCGACGCACATCGTGGCCGGGCCGTTCTGCTCGCTGATACTGGCCGACATGGGCGCGGAGGTGATCAAGATCGAGCGGCCTCGAACCGGCGACATCGCGCGGGGGAGAACGCCCTTTATCACCGACGACAACGGCAACCGGATGAGCTCGCGGTTCCTGGGAGTGAATCGAAACAAGAAGAGCGTGAGCATCGACCTGCGCCATCCACGGTGCAAGCAGGCCTTCGAAAGCCTCGTAGCAGTGTCCGACGTGCTGGTGGATAACTGGGGCTCAGGGGCATTCGCGCGGTTGGGATTGGGGTACGACCGCCTATGCGAGATCAATCCAGGCCTGATCTACGCCAGCATCACTGGTTACGGGGACAGCGAGGGATTGAACGGTCCATACTCCAACTGGCCGGCTAACAACATGGCAATCCAGGCAATGGCCGGCTGGATGGAAATGACCGGGGACCCGGACGGTCGCCCCCAAGCAGTGGGGGACAACATCGGCGATTCTATCCCGGGGTTGTGGGCCGCGCTCAGCATCGTGCTGGCCCTCGAGACGCGCCGCAAGACAGGTCGGGGCCAGCACATAGACGTGGCTATGTACGAGTGCCTGGTCTCGCATATAGAGAGCAATATGAACCACTATCACGCGACAAGGGAGGCGCCGATGCGCTCCCACGACCGAATGGCAACCGCCGGAGTCACGTTCCGCGCCAAGGACGGCTACGTGGTTTTGGCCGGGGCGCGGTCCGAGGAGAGACTGCGGTCGCTGTGGCAGACGATCGGCAGGGACGACCTTGCCGGGGACCAGCGTTTCTTGGGCGGCGAACTGGGAGGAGATTTTTTCGTCAACGAGTTTGTTCCTGCAATCGAGCAATGGTCGGTCAACCTGAGCAAGCTGGAAATAGCGGAAAAGCTGGTGGAGTTGGGATTCTCCATGGGGATGGCGCAGACCATGGAGGAGTTGGCTCACTGTCCGCACCTTGAGAGCCGGCAGATGTACGTGGACACCGGCGACACGCTGGGCGGGATGTTTCGCTCGCCGCGTACGCCGGTGCGCCTAACCGGGTGCGTCGACATACCCACCGAAACCCCGCCGACGCTGGGCCAGCACAACCGCGAAATCCTCTGCAGCATCGGCGGTCTGACGCCGGAGGAACTGGAATCGCTGGAGGCTGAGGGGGCACTGTAGGAGCTTCCTGGCACCGCTACCCTGCTCAGTCCTCTCACTCCTCGGCCGGAGAAATCGGCCTCTTCACCAGTGGCGTGAATATCATTACCGGAATGATCAACAGGAGACCAAGGCCAGTGCTCAATGCGACAGCCTCGTTGGCGCTCAAGTAATCGGCAACGAAGCCGACTATCACACCCCCCACTGCGGCGACACCAATGCACTGCCCTAGGACTCCCAACGCTGCGCCCCGAATCTCCGGCGGCGACGAGAGCATGATTATGGTGCTCTGCATCGTGCTGAACCCTGCTGCTCCCAGACCGGATACCAGCAACAACATGAAGGATACCGAATACCACGGGGACAGTGCGAACCCTATAAGGCTCACAAGCTGTATCGCCATCCCGAAGCAGAAGACCCTGCCGTGATAGCGCAAGTTGGGGACGAGGCCAATGGCCAGCGCCGCGCCAAGAGTACCGAATGACTGAGCCGAAATCAGCACGCCGGTGAGTTCGGGACCAACTTCGAGGTGCTCTGTAGCTACCACTGGGAACAACGATTCCACGCTGAAGGCGAGGGCGTTGAATATGATGGTACCCATCAACACAGCCCGGACTACCGGATTTCTGAAAGCGTATCTGAATCCGGTCCTAGCGGTCTCCATAAGAGCAAACGGCCCACTGGCCCTCGGGGGGAGTCGCGTCCTGACGAGCAGGACAAAGACGAAGGCAAGGCTGTAGAGCCCCAGCAGGGTGGCGAAGGC